TCTCTGGCCTAGCATACACACTCACACGCTTCAGCTCGCACTGTTGTTACCAGTTGGGCTTGTTCCAGGTCCAAACACCGCCACTGCCAGTTCTACCCTGAGGGACTGGAGCATAATGTATTTTGTATCCCTTCTGGCAGTCATGCAGACCTGTCCTTGACTGACCCACTTCAAACGCATACGCTCAAAAACTGTGACGTCGAGGGCCGCTCTCAAGGAACAATGGCCGTTGATTCCTGGAATATTTGTTTGTATTCGGTACTGTTATTATAACCCAAATACGTTCACTGAATAAACATGGGACACCAGAGCGAGTGATAATAGACAAGTAACCAGAAGTTGACGAGACTGTAAACAAGGTCTTTTGCTGAGCGCTGCCGTGATAATACCAACAGAAGTTGTTGACAGACAACATTGCTCATGGAGTCTGACATGCTACATTACAAGCGCATTACATGCAGAGTTTATTCTGCTGGCACGAGATGGAAATTGATGTATGCCGAGTGGGTCTGGCTGCACGACATGGCACCGCCTGAGGAAAGTTAGACGGGGCCATCAGCGGGAATATCTGTCAAGTGCGGCATGTGTGATATAATCCTTTGGAGAATGACTCACAAGGCCTTATTTCATAGGATCGTTGAGGTTTACTCGACTCTCCCCCCTCTGGTGGGTGATATCAATCACTGCAGTTGCGCCCACTAAGGAAAACAATTAGTCCTCTTTAGTCACGCAAACCGTGCTTGTGCTTGATGAGGTGTGAATTCAGGAGTTTCGTTCAGCCATTGTAAACAATAATCATGCAGCCAAACAAAGCTTCGACATGAATCTCAGAAGAGGGAATCTGTTTGCGTAACATATTTTTCCAGGGCCACATAAAACACGCAAACTGTTTACAGACATATCCGTATGTCTCCTGATAATTACTGCTGATGGAATCTGCACTTTTGATGTTTTTAACCCAAGCTTGGTGTGAGCTGGTCATGGCATAAGAAGGGTTTTCATTCTTAAAAGCTGCCCGCCAGATGCCAAAGAAAATAGAGGTCTTCATAAAACTGGAGAGGCGTGACTCAAAATAGCAACACACGTTTCCTATTGGTTGACTGGTGTCATATAAAGTGTAACCACAGAAAAATGAAGGTGCAGTACTAGAATGGCACATCACAGGGAAGCCATTTAGTATGTCTGCAACCCGCAGGAAAAGTGCCTCCATTACAAAAAAAAAAAAAAAAAAAAAAAAAGATTCTAAAGGGCCTTAAAACACAAAACAGCTTAAATTAATTGACTTTAAATCAATGACTAAAATCAATGAGAGCAATTGCCCTGTAGTTAAAGACAAGTATAGGACCACATTTTGTTCACCATTACTGTTATTTTATAGCTTATGTCCAACCATAAGGAATAGGTAAAGTATAGTGCCTAAATGACGATTTCACAAAGACATCTTAATAAAAATTACTAAATAACTTATTTACAAAATTAAAGGACAAACATTGTTGAGGTAGGCTTGAGGTATAGCTACTACAACTAGCTTAACATAGTCAATGGGAAATCCTCACCACGATAAAATAACGAGAGTGTCTGTACGTGCGAGTTCAAGAGTCTGAGGATTTGTTTTTAGTTTTAGGAAGAATGACAACGGCAAAGAGAGCCAAAAGTAGACTACTAATGTAAAAACCCCATGAATTGACTTGACACAATTTTCTTCCTTTTGGTGACGCATTTTAAAACAGGAAGTTTGAGCTATAGACATACTGACAGACTTGTCCCTGTTCACAAACAGCTTTAATTTAAATCACAGACACTTTATATGATGAACAGATTGAATTTAGGCTGTTTGCTTGATGTGTGAGAACAATGAGGTTCATTCTCGTGTTACGCAGCAAGTTTGAGCTTCAGGAAGAACCGAGCAGGTTTAGTGGAGCTTCTGTTTATGTACGTAAATAAAAGCCTTAATTAAATCTGTTCAAGTGAATTCAAATGGATTCGTTTTACGATCTCTTTATGAACTTTTTGAAGCACCAAACTGCTGGTTGAGTAGCTGTCAATGGAGCCACAGAAAAAAAAACAATCAAAAAGTTCTTAATTTTAATGAGGGTGAGTAATAATGACTGAATTTTCATTTGTGGGTCATTCTAAAGAATTTGATTGGACAAAAAAATTTACCTGCCCACGAGTGCAGATTGAGAATTTTTTTCTCTACTTTTCTGCAAGAGAAAGAGTGTAATTTTTTTATATGCATAGAGACTAACATGCATGTTCAAAGATAAACACCGAAAGCCACAAAACTCGTAAAAAATGTCTTTGACACACAACTCTGATTCTCACTCTCTCTCTCTTTTACACACATACACAAGAGTCTCAGTGTTCTTGTGAAACCGCTGGCACCTGAACACACACTGGGCAGACGGGCACTCCCTGGCAGACCCGAGCGGAAGAAGGGGTGGGGGTGGGGGGGTATCACCCACCAAGACAGCCACACAGAGACAGGCTCTCTTTCGGGAAGTGGAAGAAGGGAGGTAGGGGTTTGGGAGGAGCAGATTAGGGCCTAAACCACATGTTGGGGTTGGCCTGGACTGATCTGCCCTAAACGGCAGAGGCCAAGTGGTTCTTTGGGGATAGAGAGAGAACGAGAGAGAGGGAATGAGTCAGAGGGAGATGCCCTGTTGTGTGTGTACATTTGTGTAGAGCCTCATGGCACTAACTGTCTCCAGACACGCTGCATCATTTGACCTAGTTGAGGCTCAGAGAAGGAACCGAGACAAGCAGTGATTCACAACTATGGTTACTTACAATTTTTTTGACTTTAGATCCTTAAAAACATAAATTAGAATTCAATTTTGGGGTTGTTGATAGTTTAAAAAAATTGCAATCTCATGATTTTTCTTCAATGCCTTTAAATTCCATTTAAGGAAAGAAAACACAATCGTGTATGTTGTCAATTTGTGTGCATGAGACTTCAGTGTGATTTTTCACACTTGTTGAGATCAAATAATTCCATCACACACAAGTGCAAATGACTTACCCATCTGGATTTGATTTGTACATTCATTTGTTTCTATCAGGTAAAGTAGCTCAGGTGTCTCATTGAGTTATTTAATCAACTGTGTTTAGTTTAGTTTTAAAGTAACAATTGTAATCATAATAATATATGAATGATATTTAATTTAATATTTTATTTTCAGAGGAGTCAGTCATTCATATCCTGGAGAAACGGGACTACAGCAAAGGCCTCTAATCTGTCAACAACCCGCTGCTTCAAACCGACCACATGCTTTTGGGGTCATCGGGTACGTGAGGGTGTGGGAGGAGGTTTCTTGCGGTTAACAGAAGGAGAGAGCGCCATCTAGTGGGATAAATACTCAACCAATCCGTTCTCTTATAAAAAAAAAACATCACCCAGACATGTTATTTACATAAACTACAGACAATGCTGTCTATATCCATTTTTATGGCACAAGTCTTCACAAAAAAATGTTCTTTAATTGAAATTAGAGCGTTAACTTAGCAAACTTACATTTGGGGGCTAGTTGTCAAATTTTTACTTTTTTTTCTAATCAGGGTTTACTGAAAAGCAATTGTAATTGTTCACCATTACATTTTTTTTTACCTCACACTGGAAACACTGCAGTGCACAGACCATACTTCTGAGGGGGCACATTGTATTGCACACTATACTATACAGATTACAAGATAAACCATAATGGTCTAGAATGGAGGCTCTAATTCAGACAGACAGCTAATAATGTACTCAACTGGCAGCCAGACTCCCTGAGAGAGTCTAAAATAGTATTAAACCGTATAGTTCCTTTTTTTCTGTTTCAGGCTCTGATTGACTGGAGTCTACGAAATGTGCTTTTAATAATTGATCAAAGGTAATTAGATTTCAGGTCTGCATTATTCATCCAGCATGAGATGGATTCGAGTTGGTTCTTTGCTAAAACTACTAGCGTGAACAGGATGAATGAATCAGCAAATAAAATAATTAAACCTTACTGACTTCAGGTTCACACATATTTAGTATTGCATACTAACAGGTTTTTCATACCATTTCTACATTTACTAACAACTTGCAAACCCTCTTTTGGCGTTAAAAAACTACTGTCGGGATTTACTAAAGACTGAAAAGGCGTGAACAGTTATTTTTGCGGCTGACCTTATTGCATATGCATTTGTCGGAATTTAAGATGCAAAATTTATGGGAGGAGAATATTTAAAATGAATCACGCAAGGTGATTTACTACAGTATGACCTTGCATTTAAACTTTTAACACAATTTAATCACTAAACATTCCTTCCTAAATATCTGTCTGGAATTAACCACAAAATCTGGAGAGTCTAGATTTACTTTGACCCTTCAACGGTGTAAGTATATATTTTACTGCACAACAATAATTGAATCTTTGATGACTGGATAAGTGCAATTCAATGTCTGATACACACTCATAGTTACTGCAGGCAGAAAACAAAAGAATAGGAAGTATCATCAGCAAAACTTGAAATGGCTCAGTGATTTACAGCAGACCGTGTACTGAATCACATACAGTATTAGTCAGTCACTCAATGGTGGATCTGGTGTAGAAGCTGTCATCTACAAAAATATTAATTTTGAATATGTTGCGAAAGATAGTTTTGAGAATATGTTTGAGATGGCGAATATGGGCCAGATGCTGAATGACTATGACAGTGGTGATGGTATAAAAAAAATCTGCTCAAACTGAACCCTTCCAAGCCCCAAAAGGACACAAAACGTGCTTTATTTTATTCTTCTGCAATTGTTACTCTAATATCAGGAGAGTTTTATATTATCGCGGCAGGTAGAGATCCATCCGTGAAAGATATAGATCCGGGTCTCAAAAGAACAGAATATGTAATGATTGGCGAAACAATCATGCGTTTAAGGGTTAATATCAATTAGACATACCTACTTAACTGCTGTATCATCTCATTGTGTCATTGTTTAATTCAATCTGCTGAGATCGGTTGATGGTTTTGGTGTCTACCTTGCTCTCTCTGCTGGTCTCTCTGCTCCATGGACACCAGGGCGGAGAAGTGGGCCTGATCGTAGGCCAGTACCAGCGGAGAACAGTGACAGCGGTTGGGAGGAACCTCCAGCGGCAGGTAAAGCCCTCCAAAAGGAATGGGGGCAAAAGCTGCAAGGTAAGCACAACAAAAATGGTAGAAGTTCATTCTAAATGGTAGAAGTTCAAGACTTCAGTGTTTATACTACAATGTTTCATTGAACTGAATCTTAAAGAAATACGTTCGTACAAAAAAATCTGATAATCTTTTTTAAAAAAGTGAATGTTCCCCTCCATTGGATCTTCTTTGGAACATTCAAACAGTGGGTTGAAATGTCTGAGTTTGCCATTGTTGCCTTTGGCTTGCTTAGTTGTGGACAAGCAATATTCTTTAACTACACAACTGAGAACAAAACATGAACTGAATTGAGCTGAATAATGACACTATTGTCTTCTGTAGAGCTGCTTTACCGCTGAATTAAGTTGTTTCATAATGAATGAACTTTACATAGTTGTTGAACTGAAAAAGTTTCAGTCAAATGAATAGTTTGTTTTCGAAACTACTCTCATGATGGAAAACTAGAGCAGAAAACAATATTTGTGTTTCTCACAAAGTTATATATTTACCGGTTGAATTGTGAGACTGGTGCTAGTGCTCTAGTCATATAAATAACAAGCTTTTATTTCCGTTTTTAAGTTTTCAAGGTGTTTTTTCATGAAAGAAAGTATGGAAGCTTGTTTTCACCATGGAATTTTTTTTTTTACCTTTTATTTTTTTTAAAAACGTTTTACCTCACAATTCTGACTTTTTTTCGTACAATTACGAGTTATAATGTCAGAATTGCGAAATATAAACTCGCATTTACAAGTTGAGGGAAAAACACTTTTTATGTTTTATTCAGCGGCGGAAACAAGCTTCCATAAGAAAGTCATGGTTTGGTTCCTACTAATCCTTTAAAAGCATTCAAGCATGTAATTACAGTCACACAAAGTTGAGTTATCAAGTGTTTAATAGCTCTTGATAACAGCTTTAATTGGTTTTCCACAAGAAAATAAAGTTGTTTTCTATTTAAACAGGGTTAAAAAGAAAACGATAAAGCCCTCTATTAGTGGTCTGAATAAAAAAAAAAAGAAAAAGCACATATTCTGACTGGAAAAGTGAGTGTTGTTGTGAATCTTACCTTCCCCTCCGGAGTCTCTGAGCATGGTGTCCGCTATCACCACAATGGGTCTTCTCAGAACATGGGCCAATACAAACACATGGAACTCCTCCAAACTCTCGTAAACCGGGTCTTCTGAGTTGTCCACACTATAGGAGAAACACACACAGACACATATAATGGTATATTTGATGTGCAATATAATTCTCATGACATACGAATTGTTGCATAATAGTGAAATTAAGGCAATTAAAACAATACTTTCTAATTAAAGCTGGAGTAGCTAACTTTTTTTAGCTAAACAATTTGTTAAAACTGTCATTATGTCCTGACAGTAAAAAAATCAAGCTCCTCTGGCTCCTCCCAGTGGTCCTATTGCCATTTGCAGAAATACACTGCTCCCGGTCAGAAACAACCAATCAGAGCCAGAAGGAGTGTCAATCACGCTCGTGTACGCGCTGATCACACCCCTCTCTTGCAAAGTGCGCCGTCATTCAAACCAGGGGGTGGGACCTGTAAGTTGTGCTTATTCAAGTCAACGTTTTCTCAAAAGTTACCGACTGCAGCTTTAATAATGTGTGCAGTTTCCAATTCACCACAATGCTACGTCTAATGATCTACAACAAATTTGAGTGAGATTTAGACAGCAGATACTTAATGCCTACATAAGAAATTTTGGATCATCATATCTTCTATATATGTCTGCCTTCAGAATGGACTTCTTCCACACTGTACAGTATATACTGAATAATCTCGACTAATTAAAAAAAAATAGTATGCAAAGTATGTGCAGCAGCTAAATAACAGAAAATGACCATGTGACTATTCTCACGATTATTCGAACTATTCACAGTATATACTGTAACATCTCATGTCTAATTGTCCATAAAATATCATACAAAGCTTTTTAATAGGCAAACCCATCCAATTAATAACCTTCATGCACAGTATCAACACTAATCTGTTTATTCATCATCATGCAGAGCGACTTAACACATCCCTTAAGTGTTGTCTAGTATTTAAAATACTGTACTAGACTTGCAAAACATTGTATATAGCTGTTTATGTCATTGTTTATAGCTGAATAAAGTGACGGATGTTTCAACCTTTTAGTCCTTGTATTGTGAGAGCACACACAACCCTGATCTCTCAGAGAAAAACAGGAAGCTGCATTTTCCAAGCCAGAAGACTCTGAAGTATGACCTGGCGGTTGATGCTTTCGCTTTCCAGTGAGTGTGACTTCAGAAGGTAGATTAAAGGTAAGGGGTACATTTCCTTCTGAAGCAAGATTCTTGAATTTGCGGTCGAAACTTAAATTTAACTGTAGCGCTTCAGTTGACACTACTGAGAAGAAACCAAACCCAACTGTTGACTTCCAGCGCAGAGTTTCCACCTCGCTGATCTGTGACCAGATCAACTGTTCTGGTTCTTTATTCTGCAGCACAAGCGTTAACAAATGGAACTGCAAAAATATTGTCTGTTTTCAAACAGGTTACCCTAACACTCACTCTGTCTACGAGTCCACGGGTCGAACAAACATAGCTCCTCCCCCAAATGCATGCAACTGGGAGAGCCAGTGTTGCTATACTGTATGGGGCTGGTCATAAATCTCAAACAACAGAAAAATGTTTAAAAACACCACAGAGAATAAAATTTTCAGAAGAATTAGAAAATCTCAGCATATAAAACTGAGAATTTAAACATTTCTAACATGAAATTACAGCTTTCATATTAAAAGTGAGTTTCCACTTCTTATATTGGTTATGGATTTAAAGGACAAATCAAAATCAGAATTTTCTAAGTGTCTAAATGCTCTCAGAGCTATGGATGTTCAGAATGGATTATTAGCATATTGCTTATGCATACTACAGACAGTACACTGTCTACTGAATAAAAATAGTGTTAAAATAGAGATGTGAAACAGTAATACGCACCAATAAATGCTTCCGACATTAGCATTCTACATTGTTGCGATCATCTTAGAAATTAAATGGATAGTTTAAACTTTCCTCAACGACATAAAATTTCCTAAAAATTCAGTTTAGTCCAAATTTTCTGAATAGTCTTGATCACTTTATATGATAGACAGATTGAATTTAGGCTTTTATTTAATTTAAGCTTAACCGAATCTGCTTGACGCACAAGAAAAAAACCTCTTTCGGAAGCTCAAACTTGCTGAGTAACATGAGAATGAACCTCATTGGTTCTCGCAGAAGCTTAAATGTGCTGCGTATCATGAGAAAGAACCTGATTGGATCTTGCTGAAGCTCAAACATGCTTGAGCATCTGTTTACGACAACTTATGAGTAGATGAAGGTTTATATGTGAACAAAAGCCTAAATTTAATCTGTTCATCATATAATTAAATCGGTCTCTTCAGAAAATTTGGACCTGCCCAAAACCAAACCGCTCGATGGTTTAGTTCTGGGATCTCTTTATGAAATAGTTGCGTAACTGTCAATGGAGGGACAGATTAGTCACATTTGTGATCCGAACGAAAGTCTTAAGGGGTTTGGAATGACATGATGGTTAGTAGTTGATGAAAGACTTTTCAAAGTTGGGTGAACTATCCCTTTAAGGCTGAACATTACTTCTGGTTCATGTGTCCCACTAGAAATGGAAGTTTATTTCAAGCACAAATTATCGAGGGATACAATGTTCCTGAAAGGTTCCAAATGTAGCCTTTCAGAAAATGTACATATTGTGCACAGTTTACAGACTGCAGAAAGAGTAATATGCAATTCTGAATGAAGCCAAATACAATGTAACACACCAATAGTGCCACCAGGTGGCAGTGGCACACATTTAAATGAGCAGAAAGTGCTTTTTCAATCACATAATAAGCTCAACAATACCATGAACTACATTCTTCTCCATGCATTATAACAGTCTCTCAAATTACTAAAGGTTCTTGATGGGTTCTTTGTGTTTTAAAAATGACATAGTGTCTAAAAGTCATGTGTTAAGTGTAGCTGCTGGATGGAGTTAATCTCTAGTGGCCTCTAATAGCAGTCTGAGTGCAGCGTGAGCGATCTATGGGAACTGAAGATGGGCATGCTGGGACAGCTCATAACTCACCCACAGTTTGAGTGCATTGTAGTCAAACTTTGAAGTGGAAATCATTGCACATTACCTCTGACATACTCATGTCTTACAAAATGTAATGTGTGTTGGAGGCTGATATGATTTTTTAATTCCGTAGCATTTGATGTATTGTTGTAAATGGTTTCAAAATTGGCATAAGAGGAAGTGTTTGTAGCGAGGTAGGAATGGAAAGACAACCAAAAGTGACATAACAACATAATATGTAAATGAGTGAGGTTGTGTGGGTGAGCATTACCCTCCACTGGAGTTGCCGTTCTTGCTAAAGTGTGTGCGTGGCTCACTGGAGGCCAGCTTCAGCAATTCGTTCCATTCTCTCTCCCATTCCTCCTCAGTGTACACCAGCCCCGACTACAGAGAGAACAAGATTTCTGATTTACAACATATCCCACAATATTACTTGAAACTAGGGCTGTCAAACGATTAATCGCGATTAATCGCATCCAAAATTAAAGTTTGTGTTTACATAATATATGTGGGTGCACTGTGTACATTATATATATATATATATATATATATATATATATATATAAAAAAAAATACACACACATGCTTGTATATATTTAAGAAATATTTCATGTATATACTGTACATAGATTTATATATACTTTATATTAGATATAAATATAAACATTATATATATAAATAATATTTTTTTCTTAAATATACATGCATGTGTATATACAAAATAATTATACACAGTGCACCCACATATATTATGTAAACACAAACTTTTATTTTTGACGCGATTAATCGTTTGACAGCCCTACTTGCAACATTTCCTCTTGATATTACTGGATATGCTCCATTTTATATCCATTACAATGTCAAAACCACCTGTCCTTAGACCATAAATAAATACTTTATATTTATTAAAAACCCCAGAACTCAAAAATGTATATATAGAATTTTATAATTTAATCTATTAAATCTGTTTATAATTTAATCAATTTTTTAGATATTCTTTAGCTGCATTTTTTCATTTTACTTTATTATATTTATTTAATTTTTTATATAATATTTATATAATATTGTATATATTTTGTATATATTTATATATGTTTTTATAACGCAAAAAATAACGCTAAATTTCCCTATTTGTCAGTACACAATTATTGCATACACTGATACACTTACACACTTGAGTTACATCAATGGAAAAGCAGAAGGTTGTGTAAACATAAGAAAACACCTCTAAACGTATTCAACAAATTTTAAATAATTCCTTTGCACATGCACTTTTAATTCTTCAGTTTTCTACCCTGTTATCTCAGTGGCATCAATATGCACACAAGCTCTAAAGGAAACACACCCACTTGTTCACACTCATCCACCTCTCACACTCCCATATGCAGTATGCACACAAACATTTCCACTCCATTCACACCCACTCATTTCATACGACTTTAATCAGTGATCCTCATTCAGCAAGCTCTGGGCCTTCAGAACATTGAAAACAGTACCGCTAATAAAAAATTCAAGGGTCTGCTATCGATCACACTGCTCATTGTCTGTCCTCCGGTATGCTGTTACAGCAATAAGCTCTAATGCTAAAAGCTGCGGAGGAAACGCACAAGCTAATCAGCAGGGGTGTTTATGGGGAAAGCCATTATGAACTGCAAGCTAATGTTTACGCTACTCACTTGGCAGACAGCTTCTGACCAAAGTACTTACAAGAAGTGCATTTATTGAGTTTGCATTATAGTAGGCAGCTAAGGAAACAAACCGAGAACTAAAAGGAATGTAAACGTTGACAAAAACCATCAAGAACACAGCAATAGCATAACATGCTAACATGCAGTGCTGCTATAAGGTACAGTGAGGAAAGTGGCAGTTAGCATATGTTTTGAATCTTAAATTAAATTAGTATTATTTGTTTGTCTAAGGCCTTGTTTAACGGATGCTAAAATAGCAAAAACGTGTAATAGACTAGGTGGAAATTAGCTAAAAAAATGTGTCAAGACTTGATTTTTCTCTTATAACTGTCGATATCTATGACAGAAGAAGTAGTGTAGCACGTAGCGCGTTTGCGCTTCGGGTGACCCAAGTTCGAGTCCCGGTTTGTGGTCCTTTCTTAACCCCGCCGCCCTCTCTCTCTCCCATTTCGCTTCCTGTCCTCTCTCAGCTATATATCTAACAAAAGCAAAAATTCCCAAAGTATACCTCAGTTTTTAAACATATATTAGACTACATTGGCATAACATGTGAGCAGCCAGGGTTTTCTCGCATTTACACCCTGATTTTGATTTTTTTCTTTTCCAATAATTACTTTGTCCACAAGGTGGCAGCACTGGCCCGGCCCGTTGTTTAAAAAAAAAAAAAAAAAAAAAAGAAAGAAATGAATGAGACCGAGAACAACAAACTACTGCATAGCTGAGCCCTTGTCTGGGGGGTTTAAGAGATACACCAATACACACAACTCTAGTTTACAAAGATATTTTTAATTGCTCATAACTTTTAGAAAGATTTTTGACCAAACTAAAGTATCTAGTAACTTAAATGTTCATAAGAAGTTATCTGGTCTTTAATAATGTTCTCAAAACGTTAGCACAAAAACATTATTTATACATTGTTCGTCTAACTTTTTAAAAATGTATATTACTACTTGAGAATGTAACGTTCTCCTAACTGGGTAATATTCGCCTAACGTTCGCATAACCAAGAAAAAACATTTAAAACAAAACATGGACGTTTTGAACGTTCAAAGAAAAGTCAAAGTAACATTTTCAAAACTTTATCAAGAACATATTTTTGTTAGCTGGATAGTTGCCAACCTCTTTGTTCTGTTGAGTCTGCTGCCACCTCCACCTCCTCTTCAGAGCTTCTCTCTCGGCTCCGCTCTTCATCATGGCGTACAGACTCTTCCGCAGCACCAGATCCCGGTCATGGAAGCCCCACATTCCTGGAACACATGGAAAGTCAGACATACGACAGCACATTTATCTTGTATTTCTAATTAAAGGAACATCACGTGAAATCTGAGACTGAACACTTCTCTTCTTTCCAGATGTTACAGGTGTTTATGAAAGTGAATTGTGAAAGTCTCACCTAAAGAAGCCGCATGCAGGAGGCAGTTGCCGTCTCCTGTTGTGGCTAACGGTAATAGCTTCTTACAGCTGGTGCACATGGTGGACCACCAGTTCAAACGACCTACGGATGGTTTAAACACTGACATTACTTAAACATGGATTAATAAACACCATTCAACATTTCATCACACTCTCAAAGCTAAAACTTAGTCATAAACTTAAGTTATGGCAGGTTAGGTGATTTGTTCCAAAACATTTTTTGTTAAACTGGTTGAAAGTCTCTCCATATCTTAGGTATGATAACATACCACTGAAAAGGTATTTTTGACATGCATAGCTCACCAAGCATTTTTTTTCATGGCATGCAGTAGCCGAATAAGTAGTCCTCTGCAAGCTCTCGGCCCTCAGGCGGTTTTCACAGGGCATTGACCTATCACCCACTCTTTTCTCTGGAGCTGGAACGTCAGTGCCTCTACACTCAACCCCTTTGCCCTCCCTTGGGGCAGGGTCTTCCTCCCACAGTCCAAAAGCTTTGCCAAAGTCCCGAGGCCATTTCCATCAGTTAGCATTTCGCTATAGTATTATTTTGCTTGCACAGACTGGTATTGTGTTCTTATAATCATTTTGCTAATTAACTACTGTATATGCTACCCCAAATCTTGCAAAGACTGAGATGCTTGAACACTTTTACACTCAATCACAATATTTTTCTTACACCGTGAAAACCTGTAAGCGCATCTTAATAATAATAATAATAATAATAACAGTTATCTATTCCATTTTTAAGAATATTTTATTTAATATTACATTTAAATTATAATCATATTAAAAAAATAATTACTGACCTGAACCAACCTTTCATTTTCATAAAACTAACTTTGTGACTTTGACTTTTGGGTCTTCTATGATATAATTTCATTTTTTATGATTGTTATTATTATTTTGTACAAGTTGATTGTACTACATGCCTTAAAGTTAACAGACAAAGTTAAAATAAATACATAAATAAATATTTAAATAAGAGTCATGTCATTGACTCATAGTTGTAAGTACAATCTCTTTAGAATTTCTCCTTTTATGTTATGTATTTTTGGGTGAACTATACATTTAAATCTTAAACTTTGGTGTTGGCATGAGGTAAGTGTTATTAGGTAAATGATTAGGTAAATATGTATGTGTTATTATATAAATGTTATTAGGTAAGTGAAGGTTTTTGTTCATTGGTCCGTTTGGCTTTGCAGTTGATCTAAGATCAGGGATTAGTTTAATTCTGTTGCTGCTGTGTTACGTTGACTCTAACAATCTAGTTAATCTTGTGCAATCCAAGCTGACATTAGTACTGATCATAAACCTGCGTTTATCACCACTGTAATGAAAGGCTAGGCTTTGTATTCGCTCCGTCACTGATCTGAGCGCAGGGTTTGTGGCTCACCGGCTTGCTCCAGGGCCACCATGGTGGATTGCTCGATGAGGTCGCGCTCGATGAAGCTGCGGAAGTCCTCGCTGTACACGCTCAGGTCGGGCAGCTGGAATGTGTAGATGGGCATCTCTAGGGGGAACTGCTCCCTGGCACAATCCCCTGAAACCTGCAGCCGCGCCAGAGACATGATGGCAGAGCTGGCATGGGAAATGCCCCGAGACAGACGCTTCTCTAGAAGAGAGAGAGAAATAAAAACAGACAAGATTCCCTTTCTTAATAAATGTTCCTGGTCTTTAATGTTTCAAATCATCACTAAAAACACTTAGTTCTTTCAAAAATATATGTGCTCATTAATGTATATTTACTTCATTTAAGTAATAAAGTATTCTCGTGAGTGTATAATATGCCATTGAAAATATGGGTTCTAATGTTGGTCGCCATGTTGCCCCTCCATCTTGAAAGTACATTAGCCAAAGAGGGACATACCCGTTAATTCAAGCTTCGCCTTTCGCGTTTGCGTTTGAGTTAACACTCATGGACGAGGTCGAACTGGAAGCCATGTTAATCTTGGACAACATTGGCCACAAAATAGGAATTGAGAGGAACAGAAACTAATATTCACTGGATGGTCATATACCTTTTCACCGCTAGATGGGGATAAAAATCACACAGTGTAGCTTTAATTAAAACCGCATCTACTTTCTTAATGTTCTTGGTCTTGTAATGCTGATGAATTACCACAGTAAAACAAATAAATCTGGTTATTACATATTATACAAATATTTTATTATATACATTTTAGTTAAATTTACTAAGTTTCTCCAACCTCTTCTACCTCTGACATATTTTCCTTCTGATGTAACGAAATGTGGGCAGAGAAAAACAATATAAACCAATCATACTTTTCAGGATTCAATCAAATCATAAAAAAAATGAAGGCCAACTGTACATTATTTCATCCCTAAATATAATTTTTCAAACTGAATTAGATAGTACTTTTTTAATTTTATACAAATTAAATTTTTGGTACTTTTAAAGAGTTTATACCAGACTGTTTAAGCATATGTGAGTATAGATTTTTATTATAATTTTCTACAGTAAAATTAAGTCATTTAGTGACACCAGAGGGGCCTAACTTAAACATCTGTAGGCATATTGTTAATAAATGCGGAGCGCTATCCTACTTACAAGAAAGACAGGTAGGGGGCGCAACACATGCATACATGAATTTTTCACAATCAGATCAATAACGTATTTAGAAAATAGATGATGTGAATTTTCATGTCATGCCGACTTTAAACTGGCTCTTTAAAAGTGAAAATACGGAGAAAAGATACCAATAAGTTAAAACAGGAGCTGATAGAAGGCTCTGCTCACCCTGAGTGTTGTCCTCTTGTTTTGGTGGGCATTGCTCAGGCTTGCTGATGTGCTGCGGGGTGCCGCTACGCTCCGGCTGCTTGTAGAAACGGCCCTCATTGAAGACGTGGGGCAGGTTGGCCGTGTGGACCTGCCGGAGCTGCTCATAGTCATTGAGAGCGGCGCTCAGGTCCCAGTTTTTACCTGATCCACCACAAACAAACAACAGAATTCATGAATACGAATTAAGTGTAAAGGGTCTTACTTTTTCATTTTCTCTTGCAGGTCAAACCAAAAACTGTCATGGCAGAGCAGCAAAGAAAATAATCTTGCAGAAAAAGTTAAAGGCTGCATCCTAAATCGCATACTTCCATACTTTATAGGTGAAAAAAAAAAAAAAAAATGTGACAAGAAGTATGTCCGAAACAGTATAAAAGAGTGGGCAAAAAGTACCTGGATGACCTACTACTTCCAGTGAGATTCTGAGGTGTGCATTTGTTGTACACTTCACTATCCCATGAGGCCACGGGAGAGGATTTGTGAATGACAGTGAAGCAACTCAACTGACACTGGTAGGATACATGATAAAGCATGGCGAATGTAGTACATCCAGATTACATTCATACTACACAGAACGTACATTTTTAGAGGTCGCTAAGTAATTACTTATTAACAAAAAGCACTTAATCGTGCCAGCCACAGTTAGCTAACTCAACAACAGCACATCCTGTTTAATGGTACAGACAAATTAACTCTATTGCCCCCTTGAGGGCTGTAGTTTGTTAGCACCACATTAATCTGCATTAAAACTGATAAGATAATAGTACACACACACACACTCCAAACCATGCTGGGCACCAAATATCCCAAAATTAGTCCTTTTTTAACACTAAAAAAAATATACAAGGAAAAAGGAAGTGAAATCAGAAATCAAAACATTATAATAACTAATATAAAACTATAATACATTTAAGTAATACACACACACACACATACATCTAAGTACAGCAATGCTGTCAACAATATAAATATGCAAATATATTAAAGTCTTGCTTGGATCGAAAATCAAGAACAATGTTTTCATTCCCACTAAATGGGAGGTCATTGTTAATGAACGTGGCCTGGTCTTCCTCTCGAATTTCCCCGAGCCTTTGTTAGTGTATTCCTGCCAACTCCCATAAGGCTTTTCAGTTTAATCCCAATTACATCATCTGCCAACACGAGTGCCACAAACCCTAAACAATGATGCTCAGCTTCACATCAAGCCTGATAATAAAGGGAGACAAATTGCTTGTGGTTTTTCTCCAGTGTGCTCTGAGTGAAGACAATTTGATGATATAACAATAAAGATTTGTTTTTGTTCCGTTTCGTTTTGTGTACAGAAAAAGAGAAAGTTCATACCAAGGAAAACTGGAGGAAGATCACAGGAAAGACACAGCACCCTCTAATGTGAAATGACAGTCACCTCAAGACTCCTACACACAAACACAGCTGCTTCCATGTCCTCCAGCGACTGTCTTATCTCCGTGACCCAAAGGCCTTGCAGGGACCAAAGAAACAGGTCCTTCTGACCGTCGAGAGCCTGTGTGTGTGTGTGTGTGTGTGTGTTGCTGGATTTGTGGAAACCAAATGTCCCTGCAAGGATGGCAAAACCTATATTCTTACATAATGTAAAATGTAAATTTTTTGTATAATTTGTAATATATAATACACTACATAATCTTGTATACCCACTGTACATGTCCATTATATTTGAATACCTATATATTTGCACATTTATAATGCTTAAATGTAATTTCTCAGGTAAATATTGAAAATATATTCAAATACATCACAGTTAATGACCAGTGACCCCAATTTGTATGGATTTAATTAAGTGCTGTTGAATCGATTAATCACATCTAACAAAAAAAAAAAAAAAAAAAATATATATATATATATATATATATATATATATATATATATATATTATGTTCTTAAAATCTTTATGTTAGATGCGATTAATCGTGATTAATCGATTTGACTCTCTCTCTCTCTCTCTCTCTCTCTCTCTCTCTCTCTCTCTCTCTCTCTCTCTCTCTCTCTCTCTCTCTCTCTCTCTCTCTCTCTCTCTCTCTATATATATATATATATATATATATATATATATATTAAATAATATTTAAAAAAAACAGGGAGAATTTAAGTGGAATACATAAAATCTTACAAAAATTAAAATCTTTTATAATTTAAAGCCTAGCATATAAATCATATATGCTAGGGCCATATATGTTAGGGTCATATAAACTCATATATTATAAATTTACAAACTTTATGTTAGATGAGACAAATAATCGTTTTGACAGCACCAAATTACTATAATATATAATGAAATAACATGTAATAACATATAACATGAATATTGTTATATCTTTTATTGTATTAATATTTACTGAAGCAGTATAGTAAACATTGCAAAATGTTAAATAATAAAATAAATAGTAATATCTGAAATATATTCATATATGGAAATATAAAGTAGTATATAACAAATATAAATCTTGAGTTTGAGAAAGGTGCTTTATAAATAAACTTTATTATTATTATTATAGCATACATTTTCCTGCTAACTGGCTAGATTTCTATCTGGCAGACTGAACAGGGTTATTACAATCTCACTGTAATCTTAGTAGCCCAGAAGAACCCACATCAATCAATACAAATCTCATTGTAGTTTATGTATTTGTACATCCTTTGACCAGCCTGAAATTTTAAAAGACATTTTAAGGTTTAATCGAATGACCGCTCAGCACCTTTGATGCATGTGTTTTGCGGTTTACTAAGCATTATGTGTCTCAATCTGCTGAAGGCGGTGGATGGAAGCTTCCTGTTGACTATCACTCCTCTGACTGTCCTTTAGGTGCACAATTTAATTTTGTAGACATTATCACATATTGCGGTTACAATCAGACCACATAAATATGTAAAATATGTCAATAATCAGCGCTTTTAAATGAAGTTTACCAGTTCCAAACATGGTCAAACACATAATTTAATTAAACAAGTACTCTTGGGAGCTTTGACAGCAAAAGGTTTAAAGGGCTTTAAAGGAAAAATATCCTGTTCAATTAAAAAAAAAAAAAATCAGCTACTGTATATTGAATAATGATATTCAACTGATTCCAGATATCCTCATATGTGAGTTTGAGACTTGAGTATTGAGTTAATATATTTATATATCTTTTAAGTTTAACAATTTACTTGTATTTACATTTACTTAATTATACATATAGAAAAAATATAAATAAAATGACTTTATATTTCCATATATGAAAATATTTCAGATATTACTATTTAATTCTAACATATATACTATTTTGCAATTTTTACTGTACTGCTTTAGTCAATATTAATACAATAAAAATATAACAATATTCATGTTATATGTTATTACATTAGCCTATATATTATAGTATATTATATTTGGTGCTGTCAAATCGATAATTTGTCTCATCTAACATAAAGTTTGTAAATATATAATATATGTGTCTATATATATATATATATATATACACACACAAACTTTTATGTTAGATGCAATTTATCATGATTAGACAGCACTAATTATATATTATATTATATTATATTATATTATATTATATTATATTATATTATATTATATTATATTATATATTCTGCAAGGGCCTGGCTGTAATTCAAAGTTAAAGCAGTACAATTAACTTTCAATGCTAATTTCCTTGTTAAAATGAGACAAAATGAGCAGGTAAAGACTGGAACTGGGCAACTGTACAACACTAATTTGGTGCTCCTCTGTGTCTTTGCTAATGAATGAGGACATTCGCAGACCTTCTGTAAGATGTTCCTTCAGTAATTAACCTTTTCTTTTCCCATTAATCAGCTACTCCGCTTTAACTACGTTGGGGAGACTTTATTAATACAGTGACACATGCGAATGGTCATTCACCCATGTGATGTGAAGCCACGACGACACACACGATATCTCACACTGACAATCACTACGGTTTCAAAAATGAAAATCTTTAAGCTGACTACATACTGCACTATACACTGTATTCAACTATTTAACAACAAATGTTTCAAACAGTAGTGTACTTACTACATGAATTTAGAAATATTTGCACTGTATACCGTATACTTCAGAAATAAAACAAGTAGTTGTGATACCTTATCAGTCCTTTAGAGGGTGACAATACACACCCCTCACAAACCACATATATAGCTCCACTGGTGACATAACTAAATAATCACTATTACGGGCCTTGTTGAATTGCCATCATGAAATGTCATGTCATGTCTCAATCAAAACAGTGACTCTGAATGAAGCACAAGGCTCATACTAAAATGTCTGCCAGTGTCGTCTGAGTCATTTTTCTCAGAACGACCACACAAACGCAGAGGCCCTTCCCACTCAGCTTTCCACAACAGCTTCTGTGACGGTGGTTCCGCTGGGAGCCGTTGGAGGGCAACAACAGCCAGGTGGGATGACGTGTTAATGATGAGTGACGCTGACAACCAGGGACAAATCATCCCACTGCCACAATCTATCAGTCAATCCGACCTAAACACACACAGCCTAGGATCATTTGAGCCTTGTGGCAGATCTTTGATCTGATCTGAGAGCTGTTTTATGAGGTTTGGTAGGTGAAAAGCTCCAACTGTTTGTCTAGTCAAGGTGAAGATTTTTGTTGTGAATATGAATATATTAGCTTTACATGCTCAGGATATGCTAAAAACGAGCAGGTTGCGTCCCAAAACGCACTACATACTTATGCACTAGTGTGTAGGCTACTCAACTGTTTAGTGTATGAATTTTATAAGATTATTTTGTCACTCAGCATTCGACTCTGATTGATAAGCTGTGACAGTCAAATGTACATGAAGTCTCCGAGATTCCATACTTTGTTTTTTTTTTCCGTTTAATTAAGTGCATCTTCCGGGTATTTAAAAAGTTGACTTTTCCTTTTTTCATTGTGTGAACACACTACTCTTATTATTTACAAGAATGACAAAAGTATGCCAGTATGCCAAACCATCCACGCCAGCAGGTGTCAGTGCTGTTACTAATATTTGGTATTATACAACACAAGTCGCTAGCAAAAAAATGGCTAACTATGTTAGCTTTCCTTGAGAAAAAACAATAGGCCTATTTCATAAACAGCCATGAAAAACTCTCTTTAAGTGGT